CCATTCTGTTAATAATACTCAAAATCTGACGATTCCCCAGAAAAGATCAGCAACAGTCAGGGATCTCTGGGAGCGAACCGACCCACTAGGAACCGATTGTGCAGCAAATAAGCAGGAAGAAATGGAGGTGGATTGGCCATACTCTGAGAAAACCGTCAAGTGACATCACACATCAAGCCATCGCCCAAGTGGAACCCGAATGGTAAGCGGTGATTTGGTCGTCATTGCAAGATTGACATGGAGGAGGTCGTGTGGAGAGGAGATGAAAGCCTGGGGGCAGATTTGGAGCCAGGTGAAAACGATATGATTATGAATAATGAATTTTGTTCGAAACTTTGTCATCCAGTGAATGATACTGTTTCACTGCGTCATACATTTAATAAACAAACTAATATGGAATTACTTACTACCAAAGTGCTCAAGTTTCACATACATTGTATTAAAGTTTGCGCTGAAGATTTCGTCTTAAAGGACAATGAAAGATTTTCAATTATATCCACGAGCTCAAAGAACACAACCAGGCCAGAAAATATATTCTTGCAGCTGTTTCACCATGTGACATTACGTCTGGGGGTAAAGTAGGTGGAATAAGATGAAAGCACATGTGAATAGCCTGAGGAGGTAACTGTACAATGACTCTGGGAAAATTTCATTTTAGAGGACAGCGCCTGAATTCAACAGTAAGATTCTATATTCCTTAGCCTTCCAAAAATGCATGAATTTTAAACTTTTACATCTCCCTGAGAATTTTGAACTGCACACTCCCTCCATGTACTATTACACAAAACAAGAGAAGAGAGTAAAGAAGAAGTTCAGAAGAAAAATAATAAACAGAATTGGGAGTGGGGGAATAAGAATAGTAACATGCGAGGAGAACAGTAGGGTTTAATTGAATATGATAAATGACAATAAAGTGTGAATGCATCTGCAACACATCTTTGAGCACGTTGGTTTTTGAGTCATATCACCAATTATCTCCAAGCGCCATTGGTTCTTACCATCGTAAGGACTGAAAAAAGTCAAGAAGTCCACACTTCCCATTAAGGCTAGCTTAAAATAACTGTTATGGATTTCAGTGACTGATGAAGCCGTGTTGGATTTGGTTTGACCACCACAAGCCCTTTACCAACCTCATCGATCCTGTGTTAGTTCACACTGCCCGTAGAGGCAGGCGATGGTTAGAAAAGCATACGTAACACACGTCCTAACTATCTCAATCGATGTAAGTTCACAACCTCACCGATTGATTTCCACTGAACTATGATTTTCGATTTGCAAATATCCTCAAGAAGAAGAAAAACAACATCTCATTAAGCTTGAAGCATCATACTAACAGCCGTAATGTTGATAGAGATCGAGCATTTCTGTCCTATACGTGGCGTCGGTGACATATCGGTAGAATGTTCGCCGACCATGCAGGTGGTCCGGGATTCGATCCTCGGCCGACGCACTCCAAAACCTCGCTAATCCAGTAATAAGACTAGTAAACAGCGAAGATTGGGCGTGAGGCTGGCAATCCCATCCTGTAAAAATAATCACCACCGCCAGAGAAACTTTGAGGCTCTCGCTTGAAGCCCTATATCCCACTGTGAACGTGAAGGAATAAAAACAATTTACGTCTTATGAAGTCAACCTACAGAAAATTTTAAATAAATAATCCGGAGAAAATATTTGATTACCGTTGACGCAGGGGAAATTTCATTTTTTCTTATAATTCAAAGCAACCATTCAAGGAAGGATGCTATGCGCGAAAATGAGGTCAACCGAGTCCCTTAACAAATATCAATACAAAAATCCTAAATATACATAAATATTTGACGATAGCGCAGGTTGTATTTCATACAGACGAGACAGGATTATTGTCAGTTTCACTATTTCACTTTCAATGAGTTTCACAGCTGGACTAGCTAATGCAGGCAGCAATCTTCAAAGTTGCCTTCACATTCAACTACTCGGAATAATACAGGCTGAATAGATTCATAGTGAACAATAACAGTGTACAATCATATTTTTCTTCTCATACCATACCACCCTCCCCCCCACTTAACACTTCTTTTTAATTATTTTGACCATTTGAAACAGTTTCCAATTAAGGCTCGTGTTAATCATTTTAATAAGTTAAATATTTTCAAAATAAAACATTCAACTACTCACATCAATCAATCAGTAGTACATAACAAACGGCCTGTTTTGTTTCTGTTGGATAACCTTCTAGTTGAGTACGGAATAATTCTTGATATAATTTCTGCTTTGAGAAGGTTAAAAGTACACTTAATTCTTATCTGATAAAAGGGGAATAACTGATTCGGTATCACGTAAATCAGATTACCTATTATGTAACAAGAATGATTTTGTAATCATACAGGTAATTACTGTAAAGGGAACTGGTTATGTATAAACAAGAGAAAAGCAGAAAGAAAGAGTTAAATGTATCTTTTCTTCTAAGGAAATGAATATTTGGTTGCTGTTGTTGTTCGTGGTGATGATGATAGTGTAGTGCTCCTACAATGACTATAACTGAATGTTTTATAAAAGTAATTCATATACTCATATTATAGATTTACAGAATTCTTGTTGACTTAGAATATGCAAATGATATAGTCCTGTTCCTAGGTGAAGACCGTGGGGTCCCGAGGACCCCGACCAGACAGCAATCTACGCCTTCCTACGTGACTGGCATAAACTAACTGTTGTGGATTTCATAGACCGATGCCATGTTTTGGCATGACCGCCTCTATCTCTTTTCCAACCTGATCTATGTCAGCCAACATCTCCCATCGATCGAAGAAGGCGATGACTAGACGTGCATACGTAACACATGTCATAACCATCTCAGTCGATGTAGCTTCACAACCTCGTCGATTGATTTGTCCCTGCTCACCCAGCACAAGATGCGCAACCTCGATATTACTTACCCATTATACCTAACACGGAAGATAGGAAGCAGACAGCGATGATCAAAGTCAGATAGCCAGCAAGGCTTCCCATTTCTTCCGCTTCTACTGGCCATGTCTCACACACAGCCGTAAAGATGGACTGCAGGAACAGTTGAGCAGTACACACGCCCTCTGGTCGACATCCGACCGGATACCACGTCTACGCCAGGGACGGCGTAAAGTGGTATAGGCGATACGAGCCTCCAAAGCCTCAGGATGGTCGGGGGTGGGTGCCTTGCGCTGCGGGTTGGCCACCCCTCCGTACACCTCTTGTAATGCTCCCATATGACCGGGCGTCTTACATAGCCTCTCCTGAGGAAGTCCAACTCACTGCCTTCATGTGGCGGAGGTGTTTTTCACCGAAGTGAGAGGGCAAAAGCGGATGCCCGGCGCTCTTCACCGGGTTGACTGTCCATTGGATGACAGTCTACGGGAGATGGCTAAACCCTGATTCCAAACCTCCAACGACTGGCGTATGAAGCTCACCGGAGCTCACCGGAAGACGTATGGACAAAGGGCTTATTGGATGCCCTGGATGTCTGGCCCCATTCAAAAAGGTGTATGAACCGGACTCCGGTCACCGGCTGACAATGGATAGTGGACTCCCTACGCCACTCCTACTGCCTTGCAGGTCACACTTGGTTGTGTAAAGGCTAGAGCTGCACTCTCAGACAAAAGGCCGAGCGATTCTGAGGACATCACTCGTACCTAATTCCCATGAAACTTCATGAACTCTCTACAACATTAACCAAATTCCAGTGCTGGTCCAACAACGTCGCCTTCGGTGGTTTGGCTATGTTCTGCGCCGACCAGATGACGATCTGGTCAAATCAGTTCTAAATCCCTCGCCATTTCCATCTTGGCGATGTCGCAGGGGTGGACAGCTGAAAACATGGCTTGGTACAGTCAAGGCTGATATGGAGTGACTGGGGCTACAAACCGTCTACGGTCTCCGTCTGTGGAACAAGAATTGGATAACCTTGTCGCAAAAGCTTGCATCAGATCGCCGCGCCTGGGCAGCGATGATTCGAGATGTTCATGAAGCCGGCTCATCCTCCCATTGGAGATAGCCGAAGTAAAGTAAAGTAAAAAAGATACGAGCCGTCTGTATTCATGCCAAGATCTCGGCACCGATCAACCCTAATGGAACTTCCCACCCAGATAAGTGAAGTGGTCAACACGCTCCACGAACCACTTCACACCTTATTTCTAAGCTAAAAGTCAATGTAGTTCAGTCCTGTAGAGCACAAACAAAGATGCCTAAAAGACTATTGAATTAAAGTAAAGAGAAAATTGTAGTAAACAAACAGAATATGCTGTTTATTCGTATTACATCATATTACATATGTGTATATTGTTTATATACTAAGATTTAAACAAAAATGCAACGAAAATATTACTAAAGGATAAAGAAAAACAGAAACTATTATTAACAACGACCAGCAGTGTAAATGTGAAAGGCATCAAATCGAAAGAAATAAAAACGAAATGCTTAGAGTAGTGTTTATACGACATAGAATAAAAATAAAAATATATATTAAAAAGAAAAGCAAACCAAAATGGCAAAATACAAAAACAAAACCTAAAATACACAGAATGTGGAATGTTTGTATGAATGAAAGATCAATTTTCACTGGGAATATTATGGCGGTGGGTAGGGGGAATGAAGTAAAAACTAAAACAACACGCACAGAGTGTTTTCTTTCCTAGTGAAGCAATGAACAATCGACTGGAGGGGGGATTAACCAATCAATGAGTTCTTTATATATTTTATAGAATAAATCGACCAATCAAATTAAGCGAAATGATTAAGCGGGATATTTGATTTCATTCATTGTAACAATTAATAATTGGATAGAGGCTAGAGAGAGAGAGTAAACAAATAGCAGATGTAATCAAAAGATTATTGGGTGTACAACAACAAAATAAGCCATAAGTTTAAGACCAGTGTCCCAAATACTGACGGAATAAATGTACACACACAAAAATAAACCCATTGAATACAAAATGTGTATTCAACACGACTTCACAAATTTATATAATTTCCTATGAGAAGCAAACAGCTCAACTTGGATTAGTCATTAATGATCGAATACTTTGACGTAAAGCATCATAACGTCGACTTGTTGGTGGAACATAATCCAACTATAGATATAAAAGAGAAAAACAATAACAACAACAACAAATGACTAAATGATTCCATCAAATGAAGAAAAGTTATGAAAAAACAACATTCTGATACAAAAATGGAGTGATAATATCCAGAACTTGAAGATATAAAATAAAACAAATCAATATAATAATACCATAGTTACCTATACCCAGTGGATTCTAATCCGCAATTTAACTTTCAAACAATGACGTGGCTTACTTTCTTCTTGATAATGAACATGTTAATTCATTGTCCTATACGTCTCTCGTTATTCTTTCTTTTATGTTATAATGTATACTACTTACTACTAACAAATAGTAGTAGTTTATCAGAAATATGCTGTTTAGTGCAATCGAAGGTTAACAGATACCCTCCTTTTGATGTTAATTCCAACTGTACATGCAGATTTACATTTCATTATGGATAAATTTTGTTTTGATAAAGTCTCACAGTGTTATACGGTAATCTTTACTGATGACCCCGTTTCGAGCACAATTTATTGCCAATCATAATCATATCAAGGTAATCACACGACTTTCCAACTTCATTTATATAGTTCCATTATTTTTCACTTGATTTGATTGGTAGTAGTATTTTCCATATTTCCGATATGAGTGATGAATCATTCCTATTGCATGTGTTTGGTGTAGACAAGAAAAGACCTAAATGATGAACTAAAACAGATAGAAGAGGCTGTGGTGTTAAATAACTATCCTTTAAAATTCATTAGGAAGATTGAAAAAGGCCAAAGGAAAAATAAAAATAATGGTGAAACTAGTAATAATAACATAAATAGGAGAGAATATAAGTCATCTACTGTTATACCATATAAAGAGGGGACATCTGAGACACTACGTAGGATTCTAAACAAAGCAGGAATTAGGCTGGTGGCATTTAAACCTACAAACTCACTCAGGTAGGACATGCTCTGTAGATTAAAGGACCCTGTCGGTTGACCCAATTAGACAAAATAATATAATTTACAAAATACCCTCCAATGACTGTCAGTTAGGTCAACTACATAGGTAAGTCGAACTAGTAGGTCAGGGGTAGTCAGATTATCAGAACATAAGAATTTAGTGGCTAGGGTAAGAATGGTTGACCCTACCCGAGAAGATAAGTAATTTAGAAAAAAGCTCAGCAATTGCAATGCATGCATGCATTAACACACAACCACGCAATAGAATGGTGGGAGAGGGTTAAAATTCTAAAACGTAATCTAGATAGGTGGAGAAAGAGAGAGGTTGATTACTGAATCCTTGTTCATCGAGTCTACACCCAACACATGCAACAGAAACGACTCAATGCAAATACCAGAAATATGGAAGATATTATTACCTCAAGTCAAATCAGAAGAGGATAATAAATAATCTTAAAATTCTATTTCAATTCAAAACATTCTAACAAGTAACTTATTATGATTATCAAAACAACACTCGTATAAACCATTCGTATTTACTATACAATTGTAATCGGTCAATAACACAACACTATTTCTGAATGGACATTATCTCACATTGATTTTTCATCCAATATCTAATCGATTCCACCCATGCATATAAATGAAAGAAAAAAGTTGTGTGAGTTACTTGATATGATTATGAGTGGCAATAGTTTGTGTTCGAAACGTCATCAGTTAATATAACTGTACAACACTGTGTGAATTATCAAAATAAAACCTTATCCATAACGGTGTGATTCCGTATACATTCAAAAATGTATTTTAAAGGGTTTTTGTACAGAATTCCCCCACCCCCTGTAAATAGACAGCTGCTAATTCAACATACTACTGGTGCAACACTATTATCAAACAAAAAGTTGGTTGGATAGGCCATGCTATCGCTGGCAGTTGCTGTCAAAACATAATTTCGCTTGTGAGTGAACTAGTAACTTCTTCTAACTGCGCCCCAGTTTCCTTGATCATAGCTGTCATGAATTTTACCGCCAACCATATTGATAGATTTGGCAGAAAGTTGTTTAGAGCATGGCGACAATTAAACAAAAGTACTATACCACGGTTTCTTAGATGGGCACACTCTTCGATAAAAGATGAGCAAGAAAAGGAAGAAGATATATCAAACATTACTGAAACTCTCAAGAAAAATAACCACACAAAGAACTTCATCAACAAAGTCAACACAAATATTAAACATGGTCGTAAACGTTTTACAAAAAGACATCATCCTAAACAGTTTTCATTTCACATAGCCCAAGAACTTCAGATGATATCAGAAGAATACGCAAAAATTACGATGTCAGAGTTTGCTTTAAAAGATCAGACACAAACTGAAAAGCAAACTTGTTTATGTGAAAGACCGAATCCCAGCGGGTGCACAATCGAGTTGTGTCTATAAAATAAAATGCTTGGAATATGATGCCATATACATCAGACAAACAGAAAACAAGATCAGAAGAAATGAACACCATAGAGCCACCTCTATTCGAATACTGAGAAATCCAGTCGAACTAGAAAAGCTTTAAAAGTTATCAGTCACAAGTCTACACGGTGCGCTATAGAAACAGGCCACAAAAATGATTTTGACAATATTCAAATCATCATCCAGAAAAAGCATTTCAGAAATCACAAAGAAAGTCTGATTTCAGAAACACTTCATATTGAATGAAATCCATATTATCTGAATAGGAATAATGGAGGACAGAATTTAACCTGGTTCTAACGTCATCCCCCACCCACCCACCCACCCACCACTACCACGAATTGACAAAATCAACACAAATGTGATAAGCCTTGACCTTGACCTTGGCGGCCTGTTGAATTTTTGGGCCTGCTAACAAAATATCTACATTTTGCATCCAGTTTCCCGTTTACCAGCATACACTTATCACTTAAATATGAATTCTAGCAGAATCATTTACTCTCGTAACTTTATTAATAATTTACGACCAAATGACTTTCATATTCCAAAGAAACCAAGGAGGAAACATCGTAGTGGTTGGCAGAGAGCTCTCAAACGTACACCAATACACTTAACTACGGTCCCCGTCATAATGAACTCAAACTGTCGCTCTCTACCAAATAAGATAATGTATCTACAATCCCTGATGTCAACTGATACGTATCATAACACTGCCATAATCGCATTACAAGAAACGTGGTTGCATGAACTGTATGATGACAACCTTATCTCACTAAAGGACTTTATTTTATTTCGACAAGACCGTCAATGTTGTAATAAGAAAAATGGTGGTGGCGTTGCAACTTTTATTCACTCCAAATGGTCTGTCTCAAATAACATCTGCTTCACCTTCTCAAATGACTTCATTGACTGTATTACTGTCAAATGTCGCCCCAAACATATCCCCAAATACAAACAATTCTATATTACAAACATGTACATTTCTCCTAGTTGCTCTCCATCTGATCTATCTAATTTTGCTGATGAATTCACCATGTTTGCTGCTGCCAACTTCGACAACTCTCTATCCGTTATTACTGGAGACTTCAACACATCAGATTGCTCCTTTCTTGAAGCTCTTGGTCACACAAATATAGTCAAATTTCCCACTCGACTTGACAAAACCCTTGACTTGGTTTTTACCAATGATGAAGGAGTATATGAAACACGTAGACGTTCACCGATACATAACTCCGATCACTGCATTGTCCGCGTTTTGCCAAAAATATACAGCAAAACACATATTAAAATCTTCTCACACCTGTCCACGAAGGCACAACAAAGAAGCTACACATCTGACAACTTACTCAATCTAAGATGCATGTTAAAAGATACCAACTGGGATCTATTCTATGAAAGTACATTAGATGACTCAATCACCAATATAATGGATTATCTTAAGTTCTGCCTTGACATATGCTGTCCCAAACAAACACTGTTCAAACGCCTCGACCGCTTCTCGTCACCCCATCTCAAACAACTTCGCAGGCAAAAAGAAATGTTATATAAATGCAAAGACAAGTTAGGACTTAAAAAGATAAATGCTCAAATCAAATCTGAAATCAAAAATCTTAATGCTATCTATAACCAAACACTTTTATCATGCAAATCTCCAAACAGCATGTGGAAACTTTTCAATGAAATTACTGGCAATAGTAAGCGATGTAATGTTTTTCCCTCTTGTGATGTTAATGCTCTTAATCTGTCTTTTATACGCTCTCCTTCTACCATAACCACTTCTAATGTTACCAATCTTGTAGCTGATAACTTCCAGGACTTCAATACTCTCGATGTTTTGAAATGTCTTAAAACTCTTAAGCCCTCACATAGTCTTGGCCCTGATGGCATACCTGCATATGTCCTAAAACAATGTGCAGATGCTTTATGTTCTCCTCTAACTAATATACTAAATGCTTCTTTCTCCGAAAACGTTGTACCTGTTCCATGGAAAGACATTAAAATAGTCCCTGTCCCTAAACCTGGAAATAGCAAGAACGTAAAGTTCAGACCCATCGCCATCACTTCCCCGTTTCTAAAGCTCATGGAAAAACTAATACTTCTTAAACTCGAACCCTCCCTTAAAAGCTTCGAAGACCCCAAACAATTTGCCTACAGACAGGGTAGGAGTACTTTAGACGCTGCAGCCGTCTTACACAACAGTATTGTCTCATCATTAGACAAAGGTGCCAAATATGTCCGCTGCACGTTTCTTGACTTTACTTCTGCTTTCGACTCTGTACCTAGAAGTCTCTTGCTAAATAAGCTCTCCACGACACAAACCGAGTCTTGGGTCACTAAGTGGTTGCATTCCTACTTTTCAAACAGAATGCAGTACACCGTATACAAAGGTCAATCCTCCTCTGCTGTGCTCACTGAATCTGGTGTCCCCCAAGGTGCTGTACTCTCCCCACTTCTCTTTTCATTCTTCCTACATGACCTACCGTCTTCAAATGATATTAACTTTGTCAAATATGCTGATGACCTAACTGTATCTTTACCTGTCAAATGTCAAAATGACTGCTCTAAACTAAATGGCTTCTTATCAGAAATTAGCCAATGGTCCAAGGAAAACGGTC